CTCCGGCCGTGCGTCCTGTCTATGACGTCATTCCAGGGCCAAAGCGCATGCCAACCGCGCCGGTTTACGACATCTTGCCAAAGTCACCTGAGCCGAGAGGTGGCGCCCCAGTCTACGACACGCCCCCTGTCGTCACGAAACTTACGCAACGAGGTAGCATCGACGTGCCGATTCCCCCAGTGGTGGGAGGGGCTAGGCCTGTTTATGACACGCCCCCGGTAAGGTCCGATAATACTTCCCCTTTGCAGTTTGAAGAAACTTGCCCACTGTATGAGAACACACCCACCGGTCGCATTTAGCCCAACCCAACCTCTAGGCATATTATTTTCATCACCATAACAACAATCATGTTACAACAAGTTGCACACAATCGGCAACTCTTTCAATTATCTTTGGATGTTTGTTATGTCAAAAGATGGAAGTCTTCTCATACACATGCGCTGCTGCCACATGAAAAGCATCACGATCTCCAGAAATATTAAATAAAATATGCAAATTGTAATCGCAATAAGTAAATGAGGCTACTTGTTTGTTTACGCAGAAGATATAGCTTCTCCTTTTTAACACAATGTACATGCACAAAGATAAGTTTTTGCAATACGAAAGCGTAATTTTGTGATGAATTCGCAAACTTAATGGACTTTACACAGATTTTAAAGTACAATGTACATGTACGTAATTTTTACTAAACAAGATTTTCATATTTCATCTGGTAAAAAAGAGAGTGCTCAATAAAAATTGATGTTTTGTTTTTACTTACTAAAGGCCTATGGATGCGCGTTAGACAAAGCAATATATGTCCTTGCATTATTGGTGGGTTGGGAAAAATCCACGTAAATGATTAATCACATTTTACTCCAATTAATAATTGTTTTAGTAATTTGCTGTTTATGGATCAGTGTGTCTTATTATATAAAACTCACTTCGAGAACATCTGAGATATAGCGAAGATATGTGCAAGTAAGATTTGAATTTGAACATGCAGTCTTGCAATGAGTCTCATTGTACAGGGTGAGTACAAAAAAAACGAAACTCAAATGTCGGGACCATTTCTGTAGTGAAGTTCTGCATGTAGCACTTTCAAAATCTAGGATATAAAAGCCCAATTCATAAATTTTCGTTTAGTACAGGAATCATTCAAATCACTCATGAACTTTTCAAGTTACGGAGTTTTAAACGCAGCCGCCGTTTTAAGGTTCTGTCCACGGATCACACAAAAGGTGTGTGTTCTTTCAGCAAAACGAAAACAATTCACACACATCCTTAGTTCAGTGTTCTCTCAAGAACTTTACTTAAACAATTGTCCCGACATTTTTTTTTTAACTCACCCTGTAGTATAGGCTCTGAGAGACATTGCAACAGGGACATTACTGGGGTCCAATTTACTATTCTAAAGGGGGCACACGGCAGGGGCGAGTAAGATGGGGGTGGGATTGGGGGAATGCCCCTATGCGCACCCCCAATATGCGTGCGTGTGATAATCTGCCATATGCACCCACCGTCATTTCCTATAGTTGGTTGTCAAAATAGCAACGGTCCAATTTGACGTGAACTGTTGGCATGTGCGAACTTCATATCCTTCACAGCCATATTTGTGCATCGTCCGCTGTTATCTTTAATCGCAGATGGTTATATAACGAAGCACAATACAATGAACCCTCATTTTAGTAATCGCTTGCGATAAGCTATATTATAAGAGGTTTTACGATCCTACGTTATTGAGCTCTGTCGATAAAAAAAGTATCGTGATTGAACAAATTCTCAACTCGAAATTGAAAATGAATAAAACTGCTGCAAACTGCTGACGGACTGGAATAACCTGAAATATTCAATGAAAAAAGTATTAAAGTGGTCTGATATTTCAGCCTTATATAGCAAGGTTTTCAACAGAGGCAAAATTCTCAACTCAAGTAAGTTACTTTAGAAATCAGATATCGTTGTTGATATTTGTTTTAAGAATGTACATTCTTAGTTATATAAGGTTGTAATCTACACTTTTAATTCTTAATAATATTTACTTTTAGTATAATTGATCTGAAGTTGTAATAGTGAGTCCGAGCATTATTAAGTTTTCTGTACGTACACTTACTGAATGAAAACAGGTGGTGAGATTTTACTCATTCTTGTATAGCCCTTTCTCTCAAAATACATAAATAAATGCTGCTATTCATAATTCCAAATGTCCTCTACCTTAAGAAATTCAAACAGTTGCTTTCCCTTTTTTATGTGAAAAAAAAACTCGTACTCACAAAATCTATTGCAAGAGTTGCTTTTAAGGAATCTCAAACAAGTGGAAAAAATTTGCACATGTAAATGGTTACAGTGTATGCAAAGGAAAGGTAGGGCTCGAGGCTGATTCCCCCCCCCCCCCCAAAGAATACTGTTGGTATACTTCGTTGTGAAAATCAGCGGAGATATTAAAAGTTCTCTGATTTTCCCATAATTATACACATGCTTTCTTTATCGCAACCTTAAAATCAACCTTGACACCCAAATATCAGATTTTGACTTTGGCAGGACGTCATCGATCTTTTCCCTCTGTAAAGAAAATCACTTTTAGCCGGAACCCTCATAAAACCATTTGCTCTACTGACTTCTGCTAAAGCAGTCAAAGCGTGTTGCCATGGTGACTGAGCAATGCGTAAGACGGAAGTTGAGTTCCTGTGTTATCAGTATCATACGCCCTCGGCCCGTCCGGTTGCATGGAAGATTGCAGGCCTGTTAGAAGCCCAAATTGCCTACGCCGACCTTATCATGATATGGATACAATGTACATGTGTGTACATGTACTGTCAATTTCACTCTTCAAGCAAAGTACCTAATGATGTAATGACAGAAAGCTTGCTCCAAGTGAAGACAGGACTACATGTATTATCAATACCCTGTGAAATTATCGATCACCGTGGAGTATAGGCCATTGCAAGATCTGTCCAGATTACAAGGTTGTCCGCGAGAGATTGGTGTTTTCCAATGTTAATTGTTGTCATTGGTCTATTGTGATATCTGTTGTGGTCTATGTCATCCATCGGAAATGTGTGGGGTGGTTTTAAAACAATGGCCTTTCACGCCGGTATCATTACACATATCCCTTGTTTGATCATGCTGGGGTGAAAACTTGGCGCTTTTTTATCATTGATTAAATTCAGGTTGTGCTTATTTCCTCAACCATTAAAAAACAAAACAAAGAAAATTTAAATTTCGATTAATTCACATTTATTTCCATTTCACAGTGCATTAAAAAGCTAAATATAGATTAACACTTGGTGTATACTTAAACAAGTATATATTAAATATTTAATTGAAATTAACAAAGGTGGAAATGGAAGCATGTCCCAGTAAGCGGTTTCTTGAGCTGGGGATGCCGTACAAGACAAAACAGACGGACAACTAAACATTGAATCAAGAAAACGGACAAACAAAAAAACTATTAAATTATAACGGGCCTAAATAGAGTATTAAACAAACTCAGTAAGGTCATACTATAAGTAATTCACAAAAAGCAGTTGTACATAACAGGTGCATTTTAATTTTAGTTTAAATAAAACTCTCAATACATGCTTTCAGCCGTCATGAAATTTGTGTGTGGAGGAGTTTTGGATTGTGATACATGGATCTGTCACCACATTAGATACTTGGAATGGCTGAACTATAACGTTTCCTTATAACAGAACGACATGCCATTTCATGCTTCATTAATTAATTACTCCTTCATATGGTTCATTAATTAACCTTTCAAGATATTGGACAAAATTAACTATAAGAGTGGTTTAGACTTATCATGTATATAACAGTCTGGCTTATCATAAGTAGGCTAAACATCGTTTACTCAAAGTTGACGTTTTTAATACATCCTGCATAATAAACATGTGTAATTGCTTAAGTTGACTTATTTTTGTAATACAGAAACTATGAAATGTACTCTTTAAACCTAATGTATTTAAGCACCTTACGTTTGTATATATTTGCCATTCCCAATAAGCAGAAGCCATTATTTTCTCGTAAAACAATTCAGTTATAAAGTATTTTCTGGATAGATGCCTTTTACTTATTAATTGAACAGTGATGTGAAATAACACAATTGTGTTTACCGAGTTACACTCCATATCGTTCGCAGAATAACAAATAAAAAAACGCTTATAAAGATTAATCTGTTTATCCCTCGCGATTTGATTTATGATAATGTACACTCTCTTTTAGTCAGTTGTTATACAATCACAACGTTTGTCAGAAAAAGGCGAAACTTTCTTTGTTTAGACATGTAGGCTGAATTTCATCTGTGATGACGTTGTAAAGTGGACATTTTTCATGAAATCGTTTTTTTTTTGGGGGGGGGGGGGAAAGACGTATTTCCGTTCCCAGGTCTCTGGATACCACGTGACAACTGGTTGCTAATCTCTCTAATCCAAGCAATCAGGCAGGATATCCGATCCCCGACTTGAGGGGTATGGCCCAACCAACATTGCATAAAATAAGGGGTAAATCGAATTAAAAACTCCCCAGATTTTAGCCTTCTTTGTAGCACAGTGTGGAAAGCCTTGCAGTTTAACCAAATTGCGTTCCCAAAAGGAGGTATATGAACATTAAACCAAAACCGCAAAAAAATCAATTTAACGAGAATTACTTCTGAGCTTTGTAAGAGATTCGACTCGATGTATCACTAAGTATCACTGTGAGATTGCATCATTAACGTTCCCTATCTTGGAACATTTTCTACTTGAACGTTAAGACTCTTATGAGGATAAGACGACTCGCTACTCTGTTCTAGTCGTCAGAGACATGGGCGTCGCCAGGATTTTTTCTAGGAGGGGGGGGCAAAGCAAATTTTTCCCAAAATTCCTTAACTTTTTCATTATATTCTCAATTTATCAATTTTCTGGGCGCGAGCATGGGAGCATTTGCCCTCCCCCCCATCAAATTAACAGCAAGATGGCTTCGCACCTCTTTTTTTCCTTTTTTTTTTTCGGGGGGGGGGGGGGGCAAGCGCCCCCTTGCCCCCCCCCCCTCGCGACGCTCATGTTCAGAGAAGGTGTTTTTTTGTCTCTTTAATTGTCAAACATGAAAGAAATATGACGTTGGCTAATCGAAATGACTTATGTTTGAAAAGACAATATCTAATCAATGTCGACACAAGATCCTGCAGATTCGATCATCATGTTTAAACAAAAGTCGTGGATTGAACCTTCGAACTGTATAATTATACGATGAAACGAAACAAGGAAAATGTGGAGGGACGTTTGGAGTAAACAGTTAGTACAATGGGTTAACTCAACATTGGATAACCCCGAAAAATTTACTTATGTCTCATGACTGCAACATAATCGGCTTTGTTTCCTGGCGCCCAACGTGACTTTAGTCACGTGACTATATGCCCAATCAGGACTTCAGTGGTCAACCAAGACCCCGAGGAGTACCAGCCAGTTCCATCAGAATCCTCGCCTGCTTCCTTTTCCTGTTTTTATCACGGACTCAGTTTGGTTTTGACAGTTAATTGTTTTTCGATCTTAATTTAGACCTCCTCTTTCATTGTTCCAGGAATTGTATTACTGGTGTAAGTTGTGGCTTGAAGTGCAACTAGTTGCCAACAGCCCCCTCTAAACTGAGTTATTTTGGGAATTTTAGTTGAAACGCTTTTGCAATATTAATAATGTGGTGCTTATATACCAAAGGTCTCAAGCACTTCATAATAATGATTATCCCTGTTCATCAGGCAATGAGACCAGTTTTTGCAGCAGTTCGAGATCAGCGCACTTTAGTCTCTATGCCCTCACAGGTACCCATTTATACTCCTGGGCGAAGAGGGGCAATCGTATAGTAAAGTGTCTTGCCTAAGAACACAAACACCACGTTCCCTGTCTGGGTTCGAACCCACGTACCGCGTCACACGAGTCGAACGCCGTAACCATTGGACCACAGCGCTCCAATAAATATTGTTTTTAAATAAATATAGTTTCTACAGAAATAATCATTTCAGTGTTTGTTATTTCCCTTCTGACATTTTAAAGCTAAAGACTGCCTTTTCCGTCTTGCTTCAAATATACACAGATCACAAAACGTAGACCAATTATCGACCAACGGCAAAGATGTAAATACGTTAGCGTCAATGGCATCAGTAGAAAGCAGTGACTGAGGGCGCTATGCAGTTTGTACGATCAGGCTTTTACGGAGTTGTTTGCAGTCCGCGCTCCATTAAGTGCGTTGGTTCAAGCCACAGTCAGAGTGAGGGCGCTATCTATTTGTAGATAAAGTGTTTGGGAAAAATGGGGGGGGGGGGGGAACGGCAACTACGAATTGGGGGCATTGCATAAAGTGCCGCCTTGGGGAACATAAGTAATCACGAATTCTGTTCAACATATCATGTTAGGAAGAAACTGTTTTCCTTACGTATTCAACGTTTGGGCCCCAAATCAATAGCAACACCCAAGCATTTACAAGACTACACTTTTACAATAAGACTATCAGCAACGCACACGTTGAGACCAGTATGGGAGTTTTTCGGCTTCTCTTCTTCTGCTTATACGAAGCAAGAGGAATCTGCAAAGATAAAAGCAATATCTAAAGTATTATATTTTTGTTCACATTCGAAGCACAACCCAACTATTGCATTGAGAAGATTGTCATAAGACAATTTGATATTCGAAGAAGAACCCGGCTTCCGGATTAAAAAAAATTGATGTGCCACTTCCTGAAGACTAAGACAAACATTGAAAATGAATATATGAAAAATACATCTACATCCCTTTTGCTAAATTACCTCAAGAGTTGGTGAAGAATTGCTCTGCAAGCAGGTCATCAGTCCTTCCGTCGGTCCTCCTCCCTGCTTCCGGTTCCTTGGGATTCAGAGGTGATCTTATCTTCATCCAGAATGACATCTCATCTTGCAGACCGTCCATCTCTGCCAAAAGATTAGAAGGAACACATGTAAGTAAATGTGTGTGGGACAATTACGCGCCTGTTGCTCTTCTTTTATATTTGTGGATTTGTGAAGTTGTTATATGTGATTATTATTTCACATTAACTTTTTATTAGATAAGCTATCATTAGTCACAGACACAACAGGCAGAACAACTGGACGCTTTTTGGAAAGGAAAATAACATTAATATTTTTACCTGGGAAACCAGTAATGGGTCGCCCGGCAAGCAGGGTCGTCAGTCATCCGGTGTTCCTCCCCCCTGCTTCCGGTTCCTCCGTGTCATCAGCTCCTGACATGAGCACTCTGGCTTACTGATCCTCCAATTGCATGTTGCTGAAAAGAAAAGAAGTCTTCCTAGCGGAGCTAGGTTACGTTAGTACAATGTACAGAAATTTCCTGGTCAAATTGGTGACCGGTGGTGTGGTATAAAGAGAATAAAAACGTATAATTATAATGGTCCTTACCTGACCACTAAAAAGATACAATCATACAAAAAGGGACACTTAGTTTAGGTCTACGCTACTTAGATCTCTAGGCAACTGGGTGTAAAGTTATAATTAAACAAACAAGATAATCCAATTAGTGGCCCTTACCTGACCACTGTAATGGATTCAACCGTTACTTACAAAACTTAGTTTATTCTAAATAGAAAATTTTGCCTACTGGTCGCGAAGATGATAACTCCAGTATGGACAAAGCAACGCGCATCCAACGCGCTACGCGGTTCAAAGGCAAACAACATTCACATTGCCGACCAGTTGTGATCGGACTTATCAGAATTGAAAAGTACCACCCATCAAAACCTCCACTGGTGTTATGGTTGTTAAAAAAATAAATTGCTGCACATTGTTTCACCCTGTAAAATCAGACTGTACATTTTACAAAGCTATTACAAGGTGTATCCAACATAACAGGTGTCATTTCACCTGATTTACAATAAACAAATTGTCACAATGGCTCTAACACAAAAGGCAATTATATTCTTTGCAAATCGGTTATTATGGAAGAACAAACAACAATGTGTGTCGAGACACATTTCGACAAGGATCAGAGACTATTTCATGTCGCAAAATAATCGTGGAATCGTTGAAACCATCATTTTGATAACGTATCACGACCGTTACATGTTGCAAGGAATCTTTAAGATCAGCACATGGCCCTATACATATAGATAATGTTAAAAAAAAAAAAATAGATATCCAAGAAAATGGTTGTCATACAGACAAACAAAGTAGATTTGTAAACATGGCCCCATAGAGTATTTTACTTCATGAACCACGGTGAAGTTACGACATGTGAGGAATACAAAGAGCATACAAGAAAAAAAATAGCTCCAACATTAGAGCTTTTTAAGCTTCAAAGTAGCTTATTATATACTCAACACATGTCCCTAGAGAATTTAACACAATGATTCGCACTCAAGACGGGGTGCGATATGCATGCACAAGCAGTGTTCAAGAAAATACACTCCGGCTATTGGAGAAATGTATGCATAACGGAGGAATATAAGATCTTTTAACTGCACCACATGGCCCTATTTTATATTGCATAATAATTTAGAAAGATTAAAAAAAAAAAAGTAAGACATGTTCCTGGAATCCTGTAACTACTCTTTCATATAAGTACAGAAGATAACGCCAAGAACAAAAATGGTTTGGCAGAAATCTCAACAAAACGGCGATGAAAGTTTTGTATACATGGCCTTAGGATTGTTTTAACAACGAGAATCAATGTAGAAAGACGACGACAAAAATGCCTAATAGACGCGACAGGAATTTCAAAAAGTTTTATTCGTACACATGGCCCTCAATATCTATCACGATTTGTTACAAACGGAAGAAATATTCCGTACACAAACATGACACTGTACATCTCACAATCATTGTCTTTAAATGTCAAGCAGGAGACATTATTGTGGATCATCACCTTTTAATTTATATCATCTTGTTTTAAAGTTATTTTCAATCGAACGGAAATCTATTTAAAAGATTACTACACATGGCCCAATCATATACGTTCGCGTAATAATTCTTCCGTAGTTAAGTACTCGTGCTTGCGCACATATTTCGTCTGCTAGCGTTGCTTGTAACCGTTTAACTTTGTTCGCACTCGAACTAATTTGTTACTTCATTCCATGCATAACCGCCGAAAATACACGTCCGGCTATTTGAGAAATGTTCACAGAACGGAGGAATATAAGATCTAAACATTGCACTACATGGCCCTAATATAATTTTGCAAAATAAATTAAACAGCTTTTGTACAAACACAGAGTTAGCCTAAGACATGTCCCTGGAATCCTGTAAATAATGTGTCATAGATGTAAGTACAGAACGCAAGAAAAAATCCCTTTGGGGCAGAAATCTCTACAGAACGGTGATTGAGTTGTGTACACATGGCCCTAGGATTTTTTTTACAATGAGAATCAATGTAGAACAACGGGAAAATGCAAACAGACGCGACAGGAATTTCAAAAAAATGGATTCGTACACATGGCCCTCAATATCTATCACGATTTGTTACAAACGAAAAAAAATATTCCGTACACAAAAATAACTCTATGCATCTCACAATCATTGTCTTTAAATGTCAAGCAGGAGACATTATTGTGTTTCTTCCTTTATTTTCTACTTTTGAGGATTATCACATTTTAATTTATATAATCTTTTTCTAGAGTCATTTTCGACCAAATGAAGATCAATTTAAAAGATTACTACACATGGCCCAAACACACGTTCGCGTAATAATTCTTCCGCAGTTTAAGTACTTGCACTCGTGTACATATTTCGTCTTCTAACGTTACTTGTAACTGTTTAACACGAACTTGTAATAATTAACGAACGACACATTTGTTATCTCATATCATGCATACCCCGACGCAGAAAATACACGTCCGGTTATTGGAGAAATTTATACAGAACGGAGGAATATAAGATCTATACACTACACCACATGGCCCTAAAATAATTTTGCAAAAATAAATTAGACATTGTTTACAAAAACAAAGTAAATCACGTTCACATGGCCCTTGAATCCTGTAAATATTCTGTCATATAAGTTTGGCGATGAAAGTTTTGTACACATGGCCCTAAGATTTTTTAACAATGGGAATCAGTGTAGAACGACGATAAACTGCGTGATTACGCGACTGGAATTTGAAAACGTTTGATTCATACACATGACTCTAAATATATATCAAGAATTGTTACAAACGTTAAAAAAATACAATATCTCACAATCGTTGTCTTTAAATGTCAAGCAGGGAATATTACTGTGCAAGATTAAACAAAAAAGATAGATGTTGGAAATTGGAAGAGAAGCAGAACGATTCACTACACATGGCCCCACCATGATTTCGACATAAAAACCCTTCCTATGATAGCAGGTGCTACGTGGTTTAGCAGTTTTAAGTACAATGTACTTGTTACGAACTCGTAATCGTTATAGAACAATACATTTGTTATTTTAATATATAGCATGTTGATATCCATCGTCCTATTTTCTTCCTATACACATATCGGGCAAATTAATGATTGACAATGACTTTTAATTTCAGATTCCACGTTCCTGCTTCTAGGATTTTCCTCATTTATCTACTATATATTCTTGAGGATTATCATCTTTTAATTTGCATGTTATCTTTTTTTGAGAGTCATTTTCAATCGAACGGAGATCAATTTAAAAGATTACTAACATGGCCCAATCATACGTTCGCGTAATAATTCTTCCGCAGTTGAAGTACTCGTACTCGTGTACATTCGTCTGCTAACGTTACTTGTACCCGTTTAACTTTGTTCGCACTCGAGCTCAAACACGAACTTTGTTCGCACTCGAACTCAAGCACGAACTCATAATAATTAACGAACGATACATTTGTTTTTTAATTTTTTGTTCTCGATTCTACGATTCTCGAACTCGAACACGAACTAGTATTCATATTTCGTACTCGACCCCAAACACGAAGGTGCAATCGTCATTTTTGACAATGATTGACAAAAATTAATGATTGACGCTAACCTTTTTCGCACTCGAACTCAACACGAACTCGTATAATCGTTAACGAACGATACATTTGCTGTTTTAATATACCCGCAGGTCGATATTCATCGTCTTAACGAACAAAACGATTGACAATCAGGTTTTCTTTTCGATTTCACGGTTCCGCTCCTAGAGTTTCTCCTCATTGATTTATTTTACCCTTGAGGATTTTTGTTTTTTAATTCATACATGTTATCTATTTGAAAGTCGTTTTCAATCAAACCGAAAGAGCGCACATAATTATTTTCGGAATCATACATGCCCGACACCCAAACACGTTGGCATTTAGAAACAAATTAACTCCAATTTATTTTGCACATCAAAGCGGCGGAATTTTCATTTCTTTCCCATCTCGGTGCTTGGTGCGATTGTGTCTTATTAGGAATCGTGCGGAGAGGTTCCTTGGAAAAATATAATTATTATCTTTAGATCGCTTTGTCTTCTACAAAACATAATCTCATGCTGGTTTTACAACTTTATACATTAATAATTTTAATTGAATTAATTTGTTGGCGATGTAGCACCCATCAAGGGTGCCGTGTTTTTCAAAAGTAGCACCCATCAAGGGTGTCGTTCTTCTCTATAGTAGTACCCATCAAGGGTGTCGTGTTAATCAATAAAGTAGTAGCACCCATCAAGGGTGTCGTTCTTCTCAATAGTAGTACCCATCAAGGGTGTCGTGTTATTCAAAACAGTATAGTAACACTCCCATCAAGGGTGCCGTTCTTCTTAATTGTATGTTAGCACCCATCAAGGGTGTCGACCTTCTCAATAGTAGCACCCATCTAGGGTGTCGTCTTTCTCAATAGTAGCACCCATCAAGGGTGTCGTCCTTCTCAATAGTAGCACCCATCAAGGGTGTCGACTCTCAATAGTAGCACCCATCAAGGGTGTCGTCCTTCTCAATAGTAGCACCCATCAAGGGTGTCGTCCTTCTCAATAGTAGCACCCATCAAGGGTGTCGTCCTTCTCCATCTTAAACTTCGAACGGCATTCCAATGGACATTATCCAAAACAACAGTTTACAGGAATGTTCGCAAAAGTTTTAAGGGATTGCATAATGCACATCTTTACACCATTAATTCTTCAAGGCATTTCCTTTGTCTTTATACACAAATAATCAGTAAACTTAATAATTATGGTTGTGATGCGGCAAAGCTCAAGGCAATGCCATTGATTTGGTATTGACTTCTGTTGATACGATAACATCTCCGAGGGTCCGTCTTCATCGCTGATTCTTCAGTTTGTATTATTCAATAAAATCCAAAACATTCAAACTTAATTTGTTTTCATACTTCAACAGGCGTTATTATTGTCAGGATAAGGTTAAATGAATAACGTTTGTTCCCTCCCCAATTCCCAAAGTTCCTAATTGTCTTGCAAGCTGCTCGCTTTTTGCAATACGGTACAGCTCCCTAAACTTTATTTATTATTTATTATTATTATTTTATTACCACCTGGTCTTTATGCATTTTATCATGTTTATATTTTTTTACTGCATAGCTTTGTCTTTATCTTTTCTTTAAAAGGGAAACCTCATCGAATTTTTCCTAACTTAAGATTTAAAACTTCTGATATACATTTTCATATTATTTTTCAGTTAGTGTGTTATTAGAAAAGCTGTTGTAGGATTTTTTGTTCAGTAAAAGTTACTTAATTTTCCAATAATAATTATATTTTAAAGAGCTCCGTAGTATCTATGAGTTGATGAAATCAATTCTTTTTTTTTATCACGGAATGTAGACATCCTTCATCCGTTTTAAATGAAATTGTTAACTGATTTGGTATCGGGAAACAAAAATAACCAGATATCGTCAAACAGTGATTAATCATCTCTGGATGACGATATCCTACAAGATACCATCAACCCGAGAAATGTGTCAATTTCTCGAGAAGATAACATCTCGCCCAAAAGATATAGTCAACCCGAGATATATCATTTTTTTCTCGAGAAGACTACATCTCACCTAAAAGATATCACCAATCCGTGATGATTATCTCGGAAAGACGATATCTAACCTACAAAACATCATCCACCCGAGATATACTTTATCTCGAGAAGATGACATCTGACCAACACGATATCTTCAACCCGAGAAATATTTTCTTTCTTGGGAAGAGGATATTTCACCTACAAGATATCATCGACCGGAGATTTTTTTTCTCGAGAAGACAACATCTCACCCTATACAAACAAGATATCACCAACCCGTGATGGCACATTATCTCGGGAAGACGATATCATAACTATACAATTTGAACATCTAGAAAACTACCCCAATGATGTCCTCCTATTTTATAAATGACGGGTGCTCATCAACCCACATAACTTTAGAGCTCAGTAACGTGTGTCTATATTTCACAAAACAAACTTCGTATCTAAAAGAAATTTTCTGATGTTAATAACATGTTATTTTTTTGCCATTTGATACAAATTTTTAATTGACTACCGTTAATTGTTTTTTTTTAAGGATCAAGCTACGATTTGTACTATGATTTTTACAGTGCCTCAAAAATGTGAGTTTTATAACTTTGTAATTATTTTGTAAAAGATTTTTATAAGTTAATTTTTACACCATGGCTGTGCCTTACGCTGCTGTTGGTGTGCTCGGCTGCCTACGCGCGCCATGTGCCTATACCCCCACCCACCCCGCCTTAATCCTATATGCCTTAACCTGAATCGTAATCGTTCATTTAATACAATCATAACTTTCCCTTATTTGCCTTCTTCCAAACGTCGAATTTCGCTAGTCTTGATCTCAACAGCATGAAGGTCTCCTCCAATTCTTATGAGCTTCAAATAATTCCGTCGGCTATCTTTTCAATCTAAATTTATACAATCATAATCAATATCATTCAGCTCTCAATATGTTTTCTTCTGCTGTCCTCTTGAACTTATACTAGCATTTACCCTGAAGCTAATGGTGTAAAGTTCAATATTTATGCAAATTTGAGATCCGTGGATACATTGTTCATAAAATTGATTTTGGTCCATTGGAATGCCGTCCTATAATACTCTTAATACATGTAGTGTGCTTGCACAAAATAATTTCAGTTTACGATAAAATCCGTTGGCTCCGTTGTCATCTCCTCGAATTCGTGGCGTTCAGGTTTTCATGTCATCTTTGAATAATTAAATAAAAGCTCAAAACTATTTTAATACAATTATAACAAAAAGGAAAACCAAATTCCAAGGAACCCTCCATTCTGCACGAAAATCTAAACATGTTTACTCCAACCCCTAAAAGCCCTTGCCTTTCTGGAATGTCTTTGAAAGTGTAGCAAAGACGGTGCACCTGGCCGCATTCCGCGCGCGCGGCCTTTCACTTTTCGACCAATAAGAATCATCGGAGTCTATGAACACGCCCACGCTGCGCCGGCCACGAGCGGCTCACGTGCCGACTCCACCTCTCGATTTCGCTTTTGTTACAATGCGTGAAATGCGCAATGCACCAAAAGGCATGTACATGTAAACAGATTTTGACAAACACATTGGCAGGTATTCACATGCAAATTACTCTAAATCAAAAGGGCTTACAGAAATGGCTTTTCGACGTACAATATTCAGCAATGCAAAAGACTCGCTAACTACAGGAAACTCAGAATGAACGCCATTTTGTTGGCAACAAACACATGTATCGTGCTTATTCTAATATCTACATACATTAAAAGTGAGATAGGCTAATTAAAGAGAAGAATTTAAGAATTGTATCGCACAGTATTCAACAATGCAAAATACAACATCGTGTACAACATGCAATACATACTATTGTAAATAACATTAAAAACGTTTTCATTAAATGCGATTTAAGGACCAAAGTCAAAGAGAGGATTTTCTTTCTGGCTCCACTTTATACTTCGAAGTGAGGTTTAAAATGTATGCAGATGGCATATTGCTCAAAATGCAGAATATTGAGACACTTTTTCCTGTTTTGGTTCTGTGTGACCGGAGGAGAAGATAATTTTTCACTCACCTCGATAGTTCCTTAATTAATGTTGGACTTACCCCGACGAACTCCAAAAGCTTGACTTCAGCATTTTCCAAAAACGTCACTCAAAATTATACGAGTTCACAAAAATGTCCATTCAGTTCAGCACAAAATGAGCATTCAAATGAATGCAATTGCGTAGTCCAGTTCAGTTCTGTAAAACAAAAGTTACGACAAGTTCTGTAGGCCTACAGCAAAGTTCAAGTCAGTTTTTCAATATGAGTGACGACGACGCTACATGTCTGCGTCGAAATGTTGCCGTGACCCCGTACACGAGGCCGGTTTGCTGGTCAAATTGCAAGACTTTTGCAAGACGTTTTTTTCGCTCCCATGAAGACTCCAGGGTATGATGTACAAGTTTCCGCATTAGGGGCTTGAAGCTGGACGGCCGACTCAGAGGTTAAAGTCCATGTTTTGCCTGTGAAATTTGAGACTTTTTTGGGTGACTGGCCCAAAAATAGCGGGGAGACAGACATTGCGTGCTGCCTCCCAGTGTCCGTTGACCCCGTTCTCGGTAATTTTCCATGGCGTAATGTTAAGGAGGTGAAAAATGTTGATGTATTCGGTTGAGTCCAGAGCGAATAAGAATACATCATTGATATGCTAATGATTGTATGGGGCGGCGGTCGGAGCGGGAATTTTGACTAGGGAGTGGCATGTGCTGCTAGCGGAGAAACGCGTCACTTCACGCTGGCTGTTGCTCCGTACTGACTTCGCGGCTTGGCTCACGGATCTTACACACAAGGATTATAACGACTCCGCCAAATTCCTGGTTAGACGCGTGCAGTGGCGGAGGGGGGGGGGGGGGGCGCTGGGGGGGGGGGGGGGGCTGGAACATTTCATGGGGGGGGGCGTCAAGCAGGGGCGTCAATCGCTTCTCAAAAGTGTGTGTGTGGGGGGGGGGGGGACATACCTTGATCATGCTCTGTGGTGTGATCTGAGGCAATTTCTTACCACTTTAACCAATAATTATCTTAGCACAAAAGATAATAATTTAAACATAATTTTCGAGGTTTTCTCAGCTAAAGGCATAAGAAAATTTTGTGAACATTGTTTTCGAGGTTGGAGTCATTGAATCAGCTACCAGAATTCTGAGCTATAGGCGTGGGGTTCGGGGCCCGCTTAAGGGCCCCGATAAATGTTGGATTCTAAATGCTCTGTGATGCTATCTGAGGCAATTTCTGACCACTTTAACCAATATTTTCTAATCAAAAGATACATTGCTGTACATAATAGGGCCCATGGCGTCATGTAGATCAATGATATTTTTTTTTAGAAACTCAAAATCTCAGTGGGGGGGCGACTGGGGGGCGACAAGGTTTCATGGGGGGGGCGGTCGCCCCCCCCCCTACGGCCCCCCCCCCCCCCCCCCCGGTAGCTACACCACTGGACGCGTGATAATATTCCGTGCTTGGCTCGAGGCTTTCAGTGTGTATTTCTCCGCGTATTTATTTTCTCCACCTAGACCTATTCAAACATAATGCCAAAAATTGTATCTGAATGGAAATTGTCAATTAAAGGCAAAAACAACAAATATGACGGAATAGTCTTCATTTCCAGATGGAGAAGCATCAATTTCGGGGAAAAAACATCTTTTTTTTTGTTTTTAAAGACGGGAGGGCGTTCGAAGAAGTATATATCTGTGACGTAGCACGCGTGGCTCGCGTGGCTTGTCTCTCATTGGTCAGAAATATGTAGGTGACGTTTTCTCGAATCTAGCCAATATGATTGGACGAAGGAGTCCTGTAAAAAAAATGAGCAGACGAAAAATGCTTTACATTGGTAAAGCGTAGGGTGACGTTTTAGCCGATTTTCGGCTAGATTTGATCATCCTTCCTTCCTGATTTGATGGACTGTTTTGGGGAAAAAACGAAATCTGGCAGAAAATCCAGCATAAGGAAAGTTTTAGCAGATTTCTAGCCGAATTCTGTAAAATCGATGATCGTAGTAAAAATATATCAGATTTTGTTTTGAACATGATTCAATCATGGTACTTCTGTCTTTTTATTCTTTATGATGAGGCTTTGTTACATGGGCACTTTCCTATGGAGCCAGTGGGGGCCCACGGTCCACTCGGCACCATAGGAAAGCACACACGTAAACAAAGTGTGACGTTATTAGTACAGAGGCTTATTGAGCGTGATAGGCTATCTGATAAGGTTTGTGCACGAAAAACCCGGCGCTAGGGGTTTTGTGTATAATTATAATTATTAGTGTCAGCACCAACTTATATGGCAATGTGTCAGTAATGCGTACACACACAGTGACTGTTTTTACGCATTATGAATGGAGGAATAAAAGATACATCATTAATTTCCATGAATTACAACACCGAATGCGGCCATATTGTCATCTCAATTCCAATATTGAACAATAACATGCCACCGTTCTGTTTGCCCCATGAGATGAGTCATCAGATATATGCATTATGCATATCAACCACAAACCATTCGTGTAAGCATGGGCGAATGGTGTAAGTGAACAACAAAAGGGAAAACGATGTGATCAGTGATGCATGTCGTGACAAAGCATAATCGAACAGATATGGTTTGTGCAGTTCTACGAACAGTTGTAGAACTTTATGTGGATATGTTTTTGTTCAAAGTAAAACTTGTAACCGTCGGGAAATACCGGTAGCTATTTAACTCTGAAACATATCTGAGTTATTTGTTGATCTTGGGGAACAATGTGAAAGTTCAATTCGAAGTTATAGGATATAGACCACATGTTCAGGATGTGCGTCGGGACCATGCAGTTTACTCCTCGAAATGTACGATCATAAGTGTTGAAATGCACCCACCATGTGTGAATTCGTTTATGTCCATGCATAAATACACGGCGGAACAACAGCTTTGACTTGAGTGGAATTAGATTGCAGGAAAAAACAATGTAATGTATTCCACCGACATCTGTGGACGAGCTTTTCCTGGTTTAGACGGGTTCATCGCAACGGTGCCATCACATGCCACTGGTAACATGGATGTACATGTACTTGCTGCCCCCATGGGGATAAAAGTTGCTCGTTACCTTGCCGTATTTGTGCTCCTGTCTTCTGGAATCCTATGCTCCTCTGAGTCGTCGGAAAGCTCCGAGTCGTTGATGACCGACGGGGGAGCTGCGGCGATGTGGAGCCAAGTTATCAATCCATTTGAACTAAGCTCCAGTGATATGAACGTTTGTATCAAGACAAGGTGAGTTTGTTTCTCCGTCACAAGCGCCTTTCTCTTTTTTTGCGGAGGGTGGGGTGCTAATTTGTAACTGACAGAGTGTTTGATGTACAATCAATGTTAATTTCAGTTAATTTCTGATGCTGACACTTTAATCCAGAAATTCAAGACGTCCAGGCTTATATGAGACCTTAAGCTTTTAGGTCCTAACAAGAAAGAAAGACTTTGTTCTCTATTTTGTAGGCATATATTGAAGAACCTTGCGGAAATTGTAAACAACTTTAAAATATACAAACAAGTGTTTCACTTGTGGCTTTTCTATCTTTATTCAGTTTAGAGTTGGCCACTCTTCATTTGACTGAAACTGAGTTGCTTGACGGGTGTGATTCGATTTACCTGCCGAGGACGTGCCGTGCTATCAGGTAAGATGCTTTATTGAGACCACTTCTAGTCAGTAGATAAAACTTGAGGCTTGTTTACATTTTCACCTGGCTTACTCTTGTTATTGGTATATTTTTAATTCATAATGTCGAAGAATGGAAATAATATTTTTAGGAAATGCCTTTTATGGATCAAGTTTATCATTAAATACCTCACAATAATAATGCAGTATGGTAAGGCTTTTGCCAAGGGTTATCCAGGGTGCCAAAAATTACCCAAGTTTTTGACATTATTTCTTGATCCGTAAACTGTCACACAGTTCTGGCGATATCTCGGTTTCTGATCTGTATCTGAGAGTAGAGACATACGAGTGCTGTGATGGTTTTCTGAGGGACGGTAACTCCTGCTCAGAGGGTAAGATGGTGCCCTTCATCATCGTAATTTCACAAGCACTGCACGCACAGTGCTGCCCGAGTGCTTGCGAGAAAAAGTGCAAACTCGAAGGCATTCTTTCTAGTGCAGACGTCTCACGTACCACAGTCGACAACCTATCCTGGCCAAATCTGGCTGGGCCCCTAACCCCCCAACCCCCACTCAATGTTGCCTCTCATTGCGCGGTGTGTGCTCCATCAGCTGGAGTGAACATTGACCGCGGGGGAGCGGGGGAGGCTAAGGAAGCGTCCCGACCATTTTGGCCGGGATTGTAGCTTGCCGGGGTCGGCAAGTCGGTTCGAGTAAAATTTGCAGCTGGTACTGCAACAATCTATCACTATTTTGTGGAGCAGGGCCTGTTGATTTGTGCAAAATGACAGAAAAGCTGTCGATCTCAAAGTTCAGTCCAAATAGACGTTTTGTCCACAGATCTGGCTTTTCACCGCGGCATTATAGCCGTGATATTACGGTTGGTTTGACGTCGGCTCTTAATTGTGCCTAACCTGTCTGTCTTTACCCGAGTTGACTCGGGAAGCTACTCGAACACACACACACACACATATCACACACGGTTTTCCAATCCAACACTGAAATAAGAGTTGGGGGGGGGGGGTCGAAAATACTTTACTTTGAATAAGGAAAGGCATTGTCATTTCCTTTTTAAAATTGTATCAATCGCTTACTTTCAATTCTTTTTCTGAGATTGTTTTTATCTTCTTGTCGGCAAGGTTATTTATATTTTCTTACCGGTTTCCATTTCTCAATCGTAATAATTTACTCAGTCTGCCCAGCCTTGACTTACGGCCCTAACTGCTCCCTGTCCTGTTCGTGCCTGAACAACGGCGAGTGCAACCCGGTCAACGGCTCGTGTGATTGTCAGCCGGGATGGATGGGTGGACACTGTGAGCGGACGTGCCCTAATGGCCGCTATGGTGACAGGTGTATAACCACCTGTCAGTGCCAGAATGATGGCTCATGTCACCCAGACACAGGTAGGCAAAATAGGTCATTAAAACGGGCGAATGAGGGCGTTTTACGACGCCATTTTAAAGCTATAATAAACAGAAGAGAATCCCATGATATCGACGTATTCAAGTTCGCCTGTTGTTTAATTCAGAAATGACATATTGAAAATATTTTTTACGCAGTCACTTAACGATCTGGATTAGTTACAAGGCAGTAAAGCTAAACTAGCTGTATGGCATGAATTAGGCCTACAGTGTTCTAGTTGAGAGGTACTATTGACGGATTATGGGTACATGTACATGTACATGAGAAGTGCTGCAGTCACGCGTAAAATCACAAGTCCAGTCACATGCCCAGTCACAAGCAACAGGGGATGGACGATATTGTCCCATTTCATTTTGATAGCTTGTGAGTTCCCTTTGGATTGGATGACTTGATGGACTTACGGTCAATCACAAGTGTCTTGGCTCCAACAGTCACTGATGAATTCCTACACATTTCTTGTGTTCAGCCACATAAATACTGTGAGCAGCATCGTGACTTGGCGCTATGTACATCATGCACTCGCTGTCAACTTTCAGTCTCTTTGTTTTCGGTGCAATATTCGTACAAATAATTAAATGGCGCCAACAGACTATTAGCAGTTTTGTTGAGAAAGTTATGTTGTTTGGCTTAACTTACATTTCTGATTATCATAAGTCTTCATCAATGTTGAATTTTATTTCTTCTTCTTACATGTCTTAGGAAAGTCTTCGTTAGTATATTTTATTTACTTGTACTTTCATGTTATGAATCTAACAGGTGGCTGCTTATGTCCCAGCAATTTCGCTGGCGATTTTTGTGAGATAAGCGCCGGTAGCGCTTTCCCCTGCGGCCTTTGCCACCAGGAAGGAAGCATAGTCTGCGATTTTATCTCTGGTTTCTGTCGGTGTAACGACGGCTGGCGGGGACTGTATTGTGCGCACACCTGCCAGAACCGCTCGTACGGGGACTTTTGCGAGGCAACTTGTCAGTGCATCAACGCGGTATCTTGCCTACCAGGGAACGGGAGTTGTGTCTGCCTGCCAGGGTGGTTAGGGGAGCATTGCGACCAAAAGTGTCCCACGGGGTTCCATGGCGACGGTTGTCAAACACGATGTTTGTGCCCGGATGATGGTGGATGCGATCACGTGACCGGGAGCTGCGACAGTTGTCCTAGAGGATGGATGGGACAATTGTAAGTGTCCATTTCAATTCTACAGTTCTGCACAGTCCGCAACGAATGCGCCCTCCTGTGCACAATCGTCCGCAACGAAAAGCGCCCTCTTGTGCACAATCATTTTTATTCCATCGATGCAGAAAATGCGAAAATTATGTGTGGGCAGTTCGCTTAAGACGCTGAGTGAATTTTACTTTTGCTCATTTTGAACTTGTTTAAACTTAGCTGCAAAACCGTATTGATACGATTATATCTACTTGATGTAGCAGTTTAGTTGTCCCTTTAAAATCATCCCCATCCCTCACTTCGTTGTCCTTTTTTAAGGCGGGTTTCTTCCTTGAATTTCGTTTACCCATCTTGACTTTATTTTCCCCTTCAGGTGCACACTTCCATGTGACGACGATCACTGGGGCGAAAACTGCTCCCGAGACTGCAACTGCGCAGAATCGCTGAACTGTGACCCCGTCTCCGGAACCTGTTTTGATATCGAAGGTATAATAATTCTATAAGCAAGAGAATGAAGCCAGTGTCAAGAAATGCAAATTTTCCTGCTGACTACTGCATGCATTTTGTACAGATGTTCTCACTTGGAAATAGACTTGACAATTACCGACTGCGCAGTGAGGGATGTCCAGTGCTAATGTATTCCATGTGCAGGAGACAGACGTGTTACAAAGACCTACGTCTGTGATAAATTGCATTATGTCTCAGAAAGACGTCACTGTATTACATGTGAATTGTTTTCAGCAATCGCTGAACACTTTTGACAAATTAGCAACGGACTGTTCTTTCTTCTTGGAAAATATTTATCAAAAGGACATATCATACAGTGTTCACGTGACCGAGGTTGTGGTAAGATAATATATTTTTTGGCTTTGTAAAAGCAGTATATTGCACACGAGTTGGGAAGCATGAATTTTGATGGCATATTCAAAAACATTTTTGATGTTTCACAGCTCGTACTGAATCAGCTACTGTGCGCCTTTTGTAATGTTCGTTTTAAGAGTGATGGGGCACAAGGTCCATCATGTATATTTAGTTTTGAATTCTCGCGTTTGTCCTTTGCTAGCTGACCTATATATAAGACGATAAACAGAGAGAGGTTTTATAAGAAATTCTCAATTAGTGTTTTAACTGTATTTTTGTTTTATTATAGGGCCTACAGACCGTAGCATGGCAGCTCTTAGTGGCGGAGTGATTGCAGCAATTGTCGGCTCGGCTGTTCTGCTTTTGATCCTTATCACAATCATTGCAGTCGCAGTCATCAGGTGCAGATCTCGCCGAAAACCTAACTTGTAAGCATTTGACCATGATTATTAAAAAAGTAAATTATCAAAATGAGTTTTGGTTTTGATTGGTCGTCAAACCAGTGTTTTTCTAGATGACAAGACAATTAGGGGCTTGTGTAGTCGAGCTGAACCCGAAAATCTAAGTTTGGACATTTATTTATCGGACGGTCGGTCAGTCGGATGGATGACAATAGAATGGTCATTCAAGGCACGGATAGGAATATTTGCGAATCACCAGGTAATGTACCTACCGATTGCAAGCGAAAATTCTTGCTCCTGAGTGTAGATGGGACTGGTACTAAAATATCCAGTGAAATTCTTCCGCAGCTCCTCAAATTGCTTTCATCCGGAAGAAGGCAATCATAAAAGTTGGTGTTAGAAAATGAGCCCGCGGGCATGGTTTAAAGTGCGTTAGTAACGGAATCCAGTCAAACCAGACCCAAAATTTATGAAACACGTTTGCTCTGTTTCTCAAATTGTATAGTTTCTACTGAGATGAATTTTCAAGAAGTTAATTGTTATGCACCCTTCTTAAGATTTTGAGCAATTTTGTTGAAAAAAAGTACAAAAAGCAAATGTTCCTATACTTACATTAATAAAGGGTCCATCGAAACTCCTCACAAGTTTCATGCATGCGTAAGCCTTCAACTTAGCGAATTCAGATAAGACATAAATAAAAAAATATGAGAATAATTTAAATTTTGATTTGTGTTTCTGCCATTATATCGACATAGGCCAAGACAGCACAATGCACTGCAAGCCAATGGAACAGTTAGCGGTCATGTGGCTCAGACTAACACTCATGGCCAGGCAAACGGCACCATCAGATACCAGGAAGATAACAGACTGAGTTCAGGTGAGACGATAAACCTGGACCATTTAAGATCAGGCCTTCTTCAGTTCGGAACTTGTTGGTAGATTTTTATGTGATAGCACTGTAAAATGTTAGGCATATAATAGAGGTATTGACATATTCTGTGCAATTATGGGGAATAAAACGTAAGTATGACGCGGGAAATAACATGGGACTGATGAGTTGGAGGCTCAATGTTTTGCCAGTTGGATTTATAAACCAACTGGCATGACGTCACAGGTGAGGTCGTCTGTAGGACTTTGCCCAGAGAAATAATAGGCAGATCTTATTCAACGGTTGCATTGTTTCTCTGACTCGTTATGATGTCGGAGAGGCAAAGAAAATTGAAGTAGAAATTGCTAGTTATTTGAGACAAAGATGACGGCAACCAGTTCGATTTTACTTAACTGTGTTGTGTTTATATTTACCGCAGCACCGGCCCCACTGCCCCGAGGTCCAGCCACCTTTCCCCGGGGTGTAGATCCAGGTAACCCATCGGACGGATATGAAACAATGCGACAAGATGCCCGAATTACCTCCTCCACCTCCGATCCTTACATCGAGATTTACGACGAGATCCGGACTAGTCAGATAGATAACCCCGTCTACGCGGGAGTCGACGCCGATGCATACGAGGTACCAACACGCACGCTTGAACGCGAGATGCAGTGACCGGAATTGAAAAATGCTCACCTATGAATCATACTATGATACCGAGGTACAAAAAAACTATGTCATTGATTAAGGCAAACTTAAGCCGCGTCCAACATACTCATGGCTACGGCTAGTAAATACACATGCCCTATGGAAGCTGTCGAAGCCACTTCCCATAGACAAGCGTGTAAAAGGCCTACTGCCGGCCGTAGCCAAGACTTTCGGACGTAGCCTGAATTTAGTGCCCTCTCGTATAATAGCGTAATGTAGGCATACTCAGAAAATGCTAAGAACTAGTATAACTCTTCAATTTGGAACGGGGCACGACAAGCTAGGCTACAGGGTGAGCCAAAAAAACCACCAAAAAAAACCAAAAAAACAAAAACAAACCCAAATGGCAGGACCAATTTTTGGAATGAAGTTTTGCCTTTAGTAATCACTGATCTCTCTATTATCCTGACTAGATAGCGGCCATTTTGAAACTCCCTCAAAAGCCCACAACGCACGGATCCGTATATAAAAAGCACAGAATAACAATAGTTTGGGAAGCAATTTTGGATCATCGAACACGTTTTTATTTATTCGTTTTGCCCACAGTGTTATTTTACTCATGTTAATATTTGTTCAAATACATAATTTTATTTCGTGACTTTTAATATATTTTTACGTGGCCAAAGGGAGTGTCAAAATGGCGTCCAGTGACTTCACCCTCACGGCTGGAAGCGCTATCCAGTCAAAATAATAGAGATCAGTGATAGCAGAGTACTTCATTTGTCCGTCTGGGTGAGTGCCTCTGTTTTTGAAGTGCGCCATCTCTTGACGCTTAAGTGTCGTTTCCCATGCAGTGCTTGTACTTTTGCTTCAATGAAAAGCGCCCTCTCTGAAAGCTGTAAATTGCTTTTTATGGCACGTGATGTCTTTGCGCACGTTTTCGCATTAATCCCCGGTTTTGGCTAATTAGACCATGGCAATCGAATAATTGGTTAAAACCCCGCTATAATAAGCGCGATGTGTCGACACTCCACACCGACGCTTGGCACACATTGGCTTGATTTCGTCGGTGGTGGCGCTGTTCCTTTTGTCGCCGCAGTTTTGTATCATATAGGCCTACTGTTCAGACAAATTTGTAAACAAAACCATAACTCTCTAGAATTTATCAAACACGGAAATCAATGATTATGTTTTTTTATTCCAGATGTTTACAAAAAATAAATGGAATTAAGGGGAGGTTTAACTTAACGTCGGAATTATGACGTCTAACGAACCACTCGCCTGTCCTTCAGTATAGCACTTGTTATACGTAGAAACCGTACAACTTTGGAAAGGTTTTACTTTAAAAGACTGAGACGAATCGAGGGTAAAGCCATGCAGTGAAAGAATACAAGTTGAATATTAAGTAACAGAGGCGGGGAACGCAACTTTAATGTTCATATTTGCCTTCCTCGAATTTTGAGCCGGTGTGGGTCGGGCCACTTTTTTTTTTTGGGGGGGGGAGGGGCACAGGTCTCAGGCAGGAATGGGATGGCACCTGCGGCCTGCCCCCTTGGTAATGCCACTGGGTAAAGATATGTGACAAATAACATGAACAAACAACCTTAGTATCCGTATGAAACGATTGTTGTTTTAATAAGAGAGCAACCATTATACGCTTTATCGTAAATCAAAACTGTACATAAAAATCATCTTTTAAAATTCTATGTATCAATTTGTTGAAAGACACTAATATATGTTTACAAATCCGTATTGGTAATATTGATTGGATTTATATATCTTATAATAATAATTCGTTTGATAGTTGGAGCTATAAAATCAAATGCGCATGGCTTTATATAAGCGGAACCCGTTATTATTATTTTGTCTTGTATAGTTAATATCCTTTTGCAATATGACTGAAACAGTGGTGTGTATTAGTATGATAGCGTTAAGAGACTGTGACGATTCTAATATACCACCTTTTTGTGATCAGCCGCAGTAATAAAATGTAATTTGTTAAGATAAACATGTTCAACATTATACAAAATCAGTACTAATGATACCTTTGATACATACACGTATCGTTTATATTTGGGTTTTTCTGTTTCATTTAAGATAAGGATGTCAATCGTTGACCCCCTGAAATCCCCAACTATGTTGCCGAAAACTTGGCGGGTGATTGATTAGTGTATATCGCTGTTCCTTATGCAATCCTTTATAAACGAACATAATTAAGGCCATATAACCTTATGAAAACACGGCTATGATGAAAGTCTCGCGATTTCACGTTCATATTTTCTTGGGTAAACGTCTGGGTACAAAACTGATGAACAGCCGGTTCAACCACTCCTTCATTCGCCTCAATAACAATATTACCGATCTCTGTATATTTTCATTATTTTTTTGTCACAAACAAAAAAACACTTTATTTCCGTCGATCGCCCCAATAGGTTCCATGATTCCCGCGAGATCCCGTTGTAGGTTCGGAGTTCAACGCGCATGCTCCGTGCTACCTTTAAAGGACGCGTTCAGACAGTAATTCATGCATTCCATGTTGATGTTGCTGTCACGTGATGTCAACTTTCAGCCAACTGTGTATCTCTTGAAATGTGTTTTTGGCCTTTTTTGTCGAGTTCCCTGAATGTATTTCATAAATTATTAACTGTTGAATGGGATGGTGCCAGACTATTTATGCAGGCATAATGCAGCCTTATTTTACTGCCATTTTTTTAATCTGGCTTTAAACATTAGGGAACGTTTAATTACAAATTTGAAATTATTCATTGAAACAGACTTGAATTAATTAGTAATTAACTTGCTTTCATTTCTCTGCACAACTTCCAAAAATCAAGATTTTACCTCACTCTCAATCCAATATGGCCGACTCTCGTGAATAAGGCCCATGACATAAACTGTTAAATGTGGGTCAAATAACATGCAAAAGATGCTTAAATGTTTGGGTTTCTTGCAGGGTAGCCCGCTGGTATGACGTCACAGGTATTCATGGTGTATGCATGTATTGAGTAATCAGGCATAATATCTTATTGTGTCATTGTACAGTGTTCAAGACCTTCAAAGGGACTACTCGTAAAACCTATTCCCCTCAATTCCTACCCTTCTCATCTGCGGTTTGACGAGATTATCCTTCATTGACACAATTTTCTGCATCACGTTTCCCATTTCTACATTTTTTTTTGAGAATTGACTCGGAAACAACCTATCGATGGAGCGGAAGAATGCACTCGATCACGGTGACGCATCGGTGCCAATGTCCGAACTGTCCAGAAATCTCCATCTGTATGGCTGTAAATTGACGGGAGTGATTCACAACGTCGTTTCCCGAGTACAACATTGAACCATAGTTGGTTGATGAGCCGTAGTGGTTTTACTGAGCAGATGGATGACACAAAAATCGACCCATCTCTTCGCCTCAAAAAGGGTGGGAGACTACTGAAAACCCCCAATACAGTAATTCCTTATTTACTAATTGCCAAACCTGTCAATTAAAAAACACCAGAGTTACATTTCGAGCTTTGATTCTGCCGAATGCCTGCTAAAGGGATTGGGCTGGTTCGATAGCCAATTATTGGCTCAATGCGAATTCGGTCGACTCCGGTCACCAGGAAACAATAGCAAAACTACAGAGGCATGGGGCACGTATCTCTCTCCCCCCCCCTCCCTCAATACCGGCCCGCCTTGCTCCGCTTAGCCCCTCCTCACAACTTGGGGATGGCAAAAATGAACTGTTTTATATTGTCGTTGTACACATGCAGTTATACTGACAACGAACAACGGTACGAGCCTGAACCAGCGAAACAAAAGTGTCCTCTCGTTCTGCAGGGCGCCCTCTTCATTCTCCCATCGTCCTTTTTTCTCCTCCGTGGTCGAATTATTTGACCCCTGTAACTCACGACGGACCTTGGCATGATGGGTCTTCCATCCCTTGACTGACCTGGCATTGACCCTATGTCTGCCCGGGTTAGCCCTGTAGGAGACACCTGTACCAACCTGTTTCCTCTCCCCATAATACAGTAATTCATATTCCGCCGGATGTTGTCCTCTCCCATGCGCCTGATACAAAGCGCAGACCAGCTCCAATAGACGTTGGGGGTAAGTACACTGTAGAATGAAGGGGAAGTTGCTGTCATGTAGCGGTCTAGTTAACCCGGGGCCTTGCGCTCGTGTGCCCGGTCTGTATACCTCCCCCAGCACGCTTCACTCCGATGTCCCCTAATGGCGTAACTTTCTGTCAACCTGATTCCGCCGCGCCGTGTATTTTGGGATCGGATGGCGGCAAACTATCGGATATTTGCTGGTTATCGATGATGGAGATAGTGACAACGGTCCATGGAGATCGTGTAAACAAGGATGGGCCGGCAACTCCCAGGGTAGGAAATGAAAATGTCAAACGGAAAATTGAACCCATACAATTCTCTGTGTGTAATTACCGTATACCTTTCGAGAACAGAAGCGTTAAGCCGCATTTTCATATAGCCGTGTCGAAAATGGTAACACCTTCTCAAGATAAGTGAACCTTTCTTATTGTTGTTTCCAATATTAATGCCGATGATCAAAGCAGTGGCCTGACTCTTAGTTCGAAGCCTGCTCCTCCGTTTTCGCCCCCTACTGGTGAACTTGGGGCAGGTCAGTGAGCTTAAACATATAAAGTGCCCCCTCCAGAAAAATCCCCGCCCAATCCTCCCCCTCCAAGATCCCCATGCAAATTGACCCTAATTACGCCCCTGCAACGAATGATTTTATTAACACTTTACTTATTTAGTTGGAAGTTTGGAGTCAATTTCCCTCCTCACTCGGCAGGAACCACATCAACAGAAACAAATCCACGCATATCCTGTTTATGCCTTTCCATCGTACCTATGCGAAGCTATTTTGGTAACCCTACCGACCCGGAGGTATTTTGCACATTACCCCAGGAAAATTCTGATTTGATATATGAACTTGTTTGCGTGGTAAAAATGTGCTATGGATTTAAAAGTATTTATGGATTAAAAGCAAAGTATCCTCGAGTATGTGCTTTAAAGAATAATTGAGCCACTTTTACCGACAGAGTTTTCGTAAAAGTATAGCTTGTATTATACGAATTTCCAAGCACATTCTATTTTGGGAAAGCACAACTGTTATATCTAGCATAATCCAAGGATCGTTAGTGCAGTTTATAGCAAAATCGTTTGGCACCTATCAACTGATGGCATCCATGATTCCGGATCCTCGATAATCCTTCAGCTTTCCGCGCTGATATCCTCTGCAACAAAAATAGGGATTAGGATCAAGTTAATTCATGTATAGACCTATAGCTAATATATATAGGCCAATCTCTCATCCAGTTTTCAATCCGGCTCAGTTGGGAAGAAGATTAAAATTAAAGGATAAATTTACATGTATCTAAACAGTACTTCACCGAATTATGTTCAAAAAGTTAATTGCATTGTAAAGATCGAAGTGGTACTAAATAACCCGTGACATTATTATACCTGGCTTGATGTTATTAAGATGAAATCAAGAAAATGAAGGTGATTTCCAACGATCAGTCCATAATGTTTGGCTGATTTTTGGAATGAAAAGTTATAATGACGAAGTCGAGTTTCGTGATCATTCAAAAGGTTGTGCGTGGTTTGTCACTGTTTTCTCGAAAAGTATAATGTCAGCTAAGTTGAAACTTCAACAGTTTAGGTTCTGAACATTCTTGGATTTGGGGTGGTGTTATTATTTGGAAACAAACAAAATGCATGAAAAACAAATGATCCTGTATATACCTTTAAATCACTCGAAAACTTCGATTATGAATCCGGGAACTCCATTTTACTGGCAACTAAACTTACTGAGTTTACAATTCTAACTTTGAACGTAGTAGAATTTGTTACAAAACAATCCCTTGATTTGCATGGATCTATGTATCGAACCTACTATCATGTTCAGCCCTTTTTGTTATGTTCAATTTGAGTGTGTATGGCTGTATGCTAATAAGAATTTCCACATTAACAACACAACAAATGCCATCGAGGGTTTAAACGCCAGTGTCATTTCTCTTTGAAAATCGAACATTTACCGGACTTTTTATGATGTCAGTATCATGTCTTTGCGTGTCAGGAAATAACATGGCTATCATAATCAGTGAATAATTAATAAATTTACCCACGCCTTAAATGTGAAGCATTGTTACTCTTGTTTTAGACGCATGGCTAAAGGCAGTTACTGTCAACCAAAAACAAGCCGTTGACCAAACAAGAAAATATCAATATTGGCGTGCTTTTGATGTAGCTCTTGAATTCACGCGGGATATTGCATTAGGTAAAAAAATGTGGTCAACCGGGGTGATGTAGCATCCAGTAAATTGGTTGTGATGGCCGCGAATTCGGCGCATGATTTGGTGTTGAGATTCCCGCTTAGTCACAGCTGGCCGTGCTGAGGAAATCCCCGGCAGAGGGATGTTCGTACAGAGATAGGCCGGGATTAACAACCCGCGGCTGTTATAAGATTTACCCGTTAATTATTGAGTATTTTGTCTATCACCGTTAAAGGTATAATCTCATACCAATTCCATGATGCTTCTATAGATGGTATGTCTGGACTCAGGTAAGATTGCAGACAAAAAATGAAGGAGAGGGGTCAGATTTATCTTGTGCATGTCTCACTTTTCAGTAAGCTGTTTTTATTTCTAATTCTAAATGTTCCTAAATTTCCTCACGTGTTTTAAGGATTTGTTTGATTCTTGAAAATCCCTTTTCCGGATATTCGACCGACATAAGTCCATCGACTGCATAAGTACACTTCTGATCAAACTTCTTATTAGGCCTGATTTGCACAACATAAATTGATAAAAAAATTCCATCTTTAACTAGATATTTTTAGGAAAAAAATTAGTTTTTTTTTAGTGTTCCCAGATAGGCCTAAACCTTAGAGCTCATTGTAACTATTGCTACCCAGTCGGTTTTGAGCATAAAACCGCAAGTTCCCAATAAAAAACCACAACATACAAATGATCTCTTGAATAGCTCAAAATATTTCCGCCAATTGCGTCTTTTATTACTAATAACGCTAACT